CTTAGTGTGATTTGTGAGCCGTGAGCTATTTCTAGCGGTTGTCCTTTCGTGATAGAGGCCAACCCTCCCTTTACATACAGATTATCATCTATTTAGCGACTGACTTATGAATCAATATTCAAACAGTACCTCAAGACTGGCCTGAAAAGCGCTGGTCATGACGTTGTCGTGTGGACCGGCGTTTGTAAGTATTGACAAATGAATGTAAAATACTGTGAGATATATAAGAATCGGGAGAATAATAAAATTGAAGACATAAAACACAAATTCCAACCAAAGGTGAAACTGAAATATATTTAATTATCAAATTAATTAATAATTTAATCACTCGTAATGTTAGCAGACTTACAGTTTTGATGGAGGCGTTAGCGAGTTTTGTCCAGAAATCACAGAATATAATGAATTGGATGAGGAATAGAGTGAATATTCCGATATATTTGACAGAAAAGCCAAAAGTGATGAACAGAGAAGAGGTGATCAGCCATGAGATCCATGGGATACTAAACGTCGGTTTTTTCGTTGAGATTACAAACGATAAAATGCCAAACAGTGAGAAGAATATGAGAATTGTTTCCATTAGTATGAAACGCGATTGAGTTAGTAATGCATTGTCTGATGTTGTGGTAAATGATAAGATTAATTAGAAATTGATTTAACAAACATTGGTCGCTATACTGACCAAAAATGATGAGAAGTGCGGCCAAAGTAGCCGTTCTGTGAGTTAAACCCATTTCAACGATTAAGTGATAAACGGTTGGTATAATCAAAGAGCCGAAAAACATGGGAACAAAACGCAAGGCCTTCAGCGGTACATCGGATTCGTATTCTAGTGATTGACATGAGATTAGTATCCCATCTAAATGTCGGTACAAATGATGGCATACTTTCGCCGATATTAGTGAACACGTGATTCCCGTTATATCCCGAGACATAAGCACTCAATGCTATCAACTGTTTCCCAAGCGGTGGCTGAGAGTCGAAGAAGAAGACACCTCTTAAGTAAAGTGACACAAACTTCCCGTAATGTAATTCATCGAACCTGAAGACAAAACCACACATTAAATCACCACAAGATCTAATCATTCATTTGTCAAGACATACACAACACTCGATGGTTCAGACAATCGGTAGAACCGGAAGCCGAACGCAATGGCGAACAGAAGCCATGCCATGGAATTGATCTCTACATTAATGGTCAGCGGTTTGTCGCGCGTGTCCTCCTCTGCCGATATTGTCTTCTTCTGATTCATTGGTTTATCATTTCTATGAACCCATTTCAACGATTAAGTGATAAACGGTTGGTATAATCAAAGAGCCGAAAAACATGGGAACAAAACGCAAGGCCTTCAGCGGTACATCGGATTCGTATTCTAGTGATTGACATGAGATTAGTATCTGACATGAGATTAGTATCCCATCTAAATGTCGGTACAAATGATGACATACTTTCGCCGATATTAGTGAACACGTGATTCCCTGTATATCCCGAGACATAAGCACTCAATGCTATCAACTGTTTCCCAAGCGGTGGCTGAGAGTCGAAGAAGAAGACACCTCTTAAGTAAAGTGACACAAACTTCCCGTAATGTAATTCATCGAACCTGAGGACAAAACCACACATTAAATCACCACAAGATCTAATCATTCAATTGTCAAGACATACACAACACTCGATGGTTCAGACAATCGGTAGAACCGGAAGGCGAACGCAATGGCGAACAGAAGCCATGCCATGGAATTGATCTCTACATTAATGGTCAGCGGTTTGTCGCGCGTGTCCTCCTCTGCCGATATTGTCTTCTTCTGATTCATTGGTTTATCATTTCTATGATTACTGACATCTGTTTGGTGATAGTCTTCGGTGCCATTCGTGTGGTTTTCTTCGCAAATTTTGGGAAGTTTTCCGTTTTTTAATGAATTGTTTTGTTTGGCATTCATTTCAATGGATTTCAGACTCAATTCAATGCATAAATGACCGCAAAATTAGATCCAATTGATTGACAGGTCTTTGAGTTGTCAACAATCACTTCATTGTTGATTATCTCAGCGATGGTGTCATCCGTGCAATAAATATATGAATGAAAGGATTCTTAACCTGACAGTAATTCACCGTTAGTCACTCACTAACCTAGTTGACTACTGTTCAATCTACACAACTGTTATTCTGTTATTGAGCACTCACACCGAGTGTCTGTCTGTGAATATGGTGCACAGTCATACCACGTGTCAGTTATGCAAACCATTAGCCAATAGTAGTGTTTATTTCATACATTGCCGACTGCTTGACAGTACAGTACAGGTAGTACTGCATTACAGGTATATCTATGGTATAGTACAGTACAGGTAGTACTGCATTACAGGTATATCTATGGTATGTCTGACTTGTAGGTCACCATTACCTCCAAATATCATATACAGTGCCGTTGATTGCGAGCCAAACATATTTGTTAGGCTTTTGTGGCACACCTTTTGGTCAATCAAATCGCTATCATATTTTCAATGACACCAAAACTGCATTCAATTCTCGATTCCTATCATTGTTTGCAAAAGAATTGGACTGTCATTAAGTGGCAATCAGTGAGTGATTGGATCAACTGATGACAAGTTAGATGTGTTGACAATAAGACAATAACTCGTGAGTGTGGCTCACAGACAGACACTTATACCACGTGTCAGTTATGCAAACCATTAGCCAATAGTAGTGTTTATTTCATACATTGCCGACTGCTTGACAGTACAGTACAGGTAGTACTGCATTACAGGTATATCTATGGTATGTCTGACTTGTAGGTCACCGTTGCCTCCAAATATCACATACAGTGGCGTTGATTGCGAGCCAAACATATTTGTTAGGCTTTTGTGGCACACCTTTTGGTCAATCAAATCGCTATCATATTTTCAATGACACCAAAACTGCATTCAATTCTCGATTCCTATCATTGTTTGCAAAGTTTTTTAAATCAATAAAACTTTAGCCCCAATACAATTAACATAGTTTACATTTTTGCTTAACTATGTCTACTTAAAATAATCCAATTAGGGTGAAAGTTATTAATAAATGTCTTAATTAAGTCAATGAATATTCACTTGAATAGCTAAATAAGTTTAATTAATCTAATACTGTATTTCAGTTTTTCAAAAAAGTTTTCGCAATGCGAAAGGAATTTAAACTTTTTTCTAATCGCTTCAAAATTATCTTATTTTTTGTTAATTTCAAAGTAAACCAGAGAAAGGCATTCAATTATTTTACATGAAAAGCATTTAAATTACTGTTGAGTTAAAGCACTTTGTGATATGTTTGTGCACAGTTTTCATAATTAGCTTTTTTAATGAATCAATTATTCAAATCTTAACATTTCTTTTTCAATTTAAGATTTCTCTAAAATGAATCACATTTTATGTGATTTATGTTTTATATTAAATTTTTAATATTGAATTGTTTTATGTTTTAAATTAGTGGTCAAACTTTTAACATTAAAGTATTTGTTCTAATGTTTAAAAGTTTTAGGTCCTCGGTCAGAATGTAAAAGGATAACATTTGCTAGGATTCATTCAATTTATATCTGATTCAATGAAAACAATTAAAATAGTTTTTCGGTTCATTAATTACAAAAATTAAAGCCATTTAACTGTTCGAGTGACTCCACTATTATAGTATACAGTACTACAGTATATGTCTGATACAGTCATTGAATAACTATTAAATTGTATTAAACTTTTCAAATAAAAACTATTGAATTTGAACACAAATTTTGGTTTCAATTTCATAAAAACTGCATTTTTGTGCACAGTTTTGAAGAAATACTGGTTTTTATAAACCCTTTTCCATTTGACTTCAAAAGTACTCCAGAAGTGAAATCATGTTTTTTATATCAAATAATTGTAACACAAATCATTGAATGCACGATTTGTTTATTAATAATAATAATAATTAATGTTATCATAAATTAGAGAAAATAACAATATTTTCAAATCAAGAAAACATAAAAACGTTTCGAAATAATCAAAACTATGATTTATCCAAACATTTGATAATAAAAAAACATGTTTAAAGAAAATCTCAAATAATAATATATAATACAATTGGATATCTATTAAAGAAATTGTTTAACAGATAATTGGGTTTGCATTTAGTCTTCGCTATCACTTCCAGACTCACTCAACCGAAGATCTTCACCTGAAATACAAGACAAACAGCAATTAGAAAAAAGTGTAGACGAGTTGACATGTTTTGCTCAAATGATTGACTTTTGGGCAAACGTTTCAAACAAAACAATGTCTAAGTCTTAAGTAATGGTTTCAAAACAATGTCTAAGTCTTAAGTAATGGTTTGAATACAAGACATACTTAATTGACTGAATTTAGGCATTGATGGCAATACAGATGTGTTGCCAAGGGCGACATTTCCGTTGTGTTTGGATGTCTTGGAAGCATGTCTCGAGTCGTCGGAGTCATCACTAGAAAATTGGTCTGACTTTACGTTGGCTTTAGTTTTGTTACCATTTGTGTTAGTATTAAGAGAAGAGCTGTTGTGTGTATGGGTTGTAAGGGTTGTATTGGTTGTAGTGCTAGAATGGGTTGGTTTGCGGACATCCTCCTCATCACTACTCGAATCACTACTGCTATCACTAGAACTAGAAGTCGACTCGCGATCACTGGAATCACTTGAAGAGTCCGACAGACCTAACGCTCCATTAATATCACGTTT